CCACGATGATGATGTGGCTCCTCTCTTCCAAACACGTGCTGAGCGTTTTGCTGTTCCTGCTTTCTGATATGGTTTAAGAATTCATTGTGATCAAAAACCATTGGACATGAAGTGGTCTSATTTGCATTTTGCCTTTGGTATTTTCGACATGGTTCATATCTCTGATTATCTTTACGGTACGACTCTAGCGTTCCAACACTACCTTGAACCAACTTACCACTTGTACTTCTTAGTTTTCTTATGTTTGCTTGTTATCAGCTGTCGTTTTATTTTTTTCTAATGATTGTTTATTTGAGCTTGACGTAATTTATGAAGGATAAGTCAAGCGACATCTGATAATTTAGCGGTGAAAAGATATAAGTAGCGCTATTTTATCTTTATYTAGCTCGTCCAAATTTTACACAGTTAAACAGTCAAGCCAAACCAATCTACGGGAGAGGGTTAAAGGTAGYATGGCGGAGGTGAACGAGCGTATGCGGGTCTGTTGTGTGTGTCGTGGGGAGGCCCCTGTGGCTGACCTGGGAGGCATGCAGCGGGACCCGGCGCTCGGGTACTTTCGTCGCCTGCCTTGTTGTTACCCGGTAGACGATGCTGAGGCTATCGACCACTGGGTTCACGTGGCATGCTTGCGGCGCTGGGAGTCTGCGCACATTCTGCTCAAGTGCCCCAGGTGTCGCGCTCCCTTAAACTCTCTGGAACTTTGGGAGGAAGAACCTATCGAGGGAGACAACCGCATAACTTTTCGATATTGGGGCTCGCGTCCAAACCCCCCGGAGGCCGCAGTTGAACCGGAGGATTGGGAACCGGAAGCTAATGAACCCCCTTTTGCCCTTTTCCCGCATTTGCGGAGGCTCCAATCCTATTTTTTCCCCGATGGTTTCGACGATCTTCCCTGAGTTCATTTGTAAATATGTAAATAATATATATATAGACACAATCACGTTTCTCTACTTTAGCAAGCATAGGAAGACCTTATATTCATATTATAAATCCGTATTTTTTAAATATATTTTCATCGTTTTTCCGACTTCACACCCCTTAAATTCTCGCATTTCTAATGTCAGTAACCACCTCTCGTTTTTACAGTATTTACTGATACACTTCCGACATAATTTATTTTTATATCTTTATAATTTCATATTTTCATATCTTTATAATTTTATATTTTTTTAATTGTTTCATTTTTTATGTAATCATCAACATTATGAATACTTTTTTAGGCGCACAACAACCAACCTATACTTCATAATATTCTTTTTTTCATTAGTCCTTATTAATATCTCACGCGACTCAYGGGAGTTCGTCGATCTGGCGATGGGGCACTGTAATATTGCTAAATATTACTTAAATTTTCATTTAAAATTTCTTCTAAAACTTTTGATAAAACACTTATTGTTTTTGTAAATCTCTTTCAATTCGGCCTTTACAGATCGTTGAATCTGTACATTTTACAAATATTTGTTTAACACTTTTGCTGTTTCGGAACTTTTGATTACCTTTAATTACTTTCAAACAATGCCTCGTACGTGCGCTATAGATCTGGACTAATCCCTTTAATGTTTGTTTATCCTACATTTTCCGATGTCATGCGCACTTGAAATCTGCTTACTTAAGGGAATTCCGAAATCGATAATTATAAGTCCGGGTGACATCAACTTGGACAGTTTCATATTTTCAAATAACTTTCTTATTTCCATTTCCAAATTTTTCATAATGTTTAGCTTTTCTTATATTTTCCATATTGTACCTTTATTAGGGTCAGTCGTCGATTTAAGGTTATATATCTTTGGTATTATAACTTGTGGGAAATACGCCCAGTTATGCAAATATAATCTTACATAGAGTGACGTATCATTAGTATGAAAAGGGCTAGTTAACCTAGTTCTAGAGGAGTGTTTTGTAAGGACCT